AAAACAAATCTCATAATTGTATTATCACTTATCTCCTTCAATTAAAACATAAGTAAAACATTTTTCATTTCCAGGTGTTTTTTTTCCAGCCACTGATAAAACAAATCTCATAATTGTATTATCACTTATCTCCTTCAATCAAAACATAAGTAAAACATTTTTCATTTCCAGGTTTTTTTTTTCTAGCCACTGATAAAACAAATCCCATATCTTATAAAATTGCTCATCTTCTTGTTCTCTCATTTCAAATGTCAATTTGCTCATTTCAGCACATTCCATTATTTTTCGAATTGGTAATTGTTTCATTTTTCCAGTTTTTTGCAAACACGATTCTAGCTGCTGTTAAAACGTTTACAATCAAATATTTTAAGTCTTTGTTATAAATTTCTGGTGTGATTCCCAGTAAAAAAAATCTCTGGCTTAAGATCCATGTGTTTATGTATCATTTTCTCTAACCACATGTGAATTTTAGTCCAGTATCTTTTGGCTTCAATACAAGTCCACCACTTGTGGTAATGTGAGCCCGGTGTCTGATGAGTCGCCGCAATTTCTAATGTTGGATTTTCCCCTTACCAGAGGGAGCTTTCTTGTGGAGTACTGTGAAGCCTTTACCATGGCAACTCCACAGCACAGTACAATAGAAGCCATTTTAAGGCAATACGGTAGAAGCCATTTTAAGGCAAAACAAGTTGTATCTTAACAGAACACCGCCCACTCCCCAAAGAGGTGTCTTACCCCCACAGTATTTCCAGAGAGTAAGTTTCATCAGTGTACCAAGTTTGGTTGAAATTGCTCGAGGCGTTCAGAATTATGCTGGAACACACACACACACACACACACACACACACACACACACTTATATAGAGATAGTCATCATTTAATGACTGCCTTGGTTAGTGCCATTCAAAGTTACAACAGCATTGAAAAAAAATAAAATTGTAAGTGATCCTTGGACTTATAATCATATTTAAGTGGGGACTTAAATATAGCAGTATTAATTGGGAATGTTATGGGTAATTTCAAAAGACAGTTCCTGTAAGAAAAACCACAAGCCACTTTTTAATTAAGAATCCACTCAAGTTGTCACAGAAGAACTTGTTATCATGAACAAAGTTTACTGCAGTCTAATAGTGAAATCACATCACAGGATTTCTAATCTGTAAATCTGGATTGATGATTCAGTAGACCCCCAAAACCTTTTATGCTCTTTGTTGCCTTTCGATTCTTCTTTATGCTGGCAGGTGTAAACACTGTAGAATGTTGTACCTGTACAGGTTATCAGCTGTACTGCCAGAGTGAGAAGTGTTGCACGCAAAGACTAGCGAAGAATTATGTTATATTCTTCCAGTACTGTATTGAACTTTCCTTAGGTTGAAAAAAACCTTTGTCTTAATAAAGACTGTCAACATCTATTGAACAAAATCCTTTCAGTTTATTAAAAACTGTTAAGATAATTTGCTGAAAAGGTAAAGAAAGAAATAGTAACAATGAATAGAAACTGCCAAAGGTAATTATAGCTTCAAAACATCTGCAGTTTCACATTGGTAGCATCTTCTCTTATTGTTATAATAAGATTCAATACTGCATGCATACCCATTCCCCTCTGTCACCAATGATACTATTAGAATCACAATCAAAAGTAAAATGCTCAATTACTTGCATATGCAACATTTAGAACATATAAATCTAAAATGTATTGTGAGATCATTGACTCATTTAAAAATGTTAACCATTGAAAATATTCTTTATTCTAATTGGAAAATATCTGAAATATTATCAGTGAAATGGTATTAGTTCAATACAACTAAGCAAATACAAGTGCCATCAAGATTATTTAAATGGGAAGCAAAGAATATATTTTAAAGATAAAAAGAAACAAGAAACAATAGCAATAGCACTTATATACTGCTTTACAGTGTTCTACATCCCTCTCTAAGTGGTTTACAGAGTCAGCCTCTTGCCCCCAACAACCTGGGTCCTCATTTTACCTACCTCAGAAGGATGGAAGGCTAAGTCAACCTTGACCCTGATAAGATTTGAACTTCCAAATTGCAGGCAGCCAGCAGGCAGCAGAAGTAGTCTGCAGAACTGCACTCTAACCACTGTGCCAATGTGGCTCATATAAAGTAAGGGCATATAATCAAGCATGGGGATGTGTAAAATATTTCAGATATGGAATATTATAGAGAAATCATATAGAAAATCCTTTGGACTGCAAGGCAATCAAACCGGTCAGTCCTAGAGCAGATCAATCCTGACTGCTCTTTAGAAGGCCAGGTCCTGAAGAGGAAACTCAAATACTTTGGCCACCTAATTAGGAGAAGAGCCTAATGCTGGGAAAGATTGAGGGCAAAAGAAAAAGGGGACAACAGAGAATGAGGTGGCTGGATAGAGTACCTAAAGCAGTTGGTGTGAGCTTAAATGAACTTCAGAGGATGGTAGAGGACAGGAAGGCTTGGAGAAATGTTGTCCATGGGGTCGCGATGGGTCAGACACGATTTTGCAACTAACAACAACAACATAGAAATGCAGAACATTCTATTTTTCCCCTAAAATATCCTTGGAATATCATGAACCACTTCCTGTTCTGGAAGATTTCCTTTTAAAAGATTACAAAATATACAGGAGTTTTCTTTTAACTTAGTTACAAACCTAAACTGATTCTCTGAAAGGAACATGCAGACATCCAAATGATTCTTCTAATCAATTATTAGCATCTAAGAATATATATAGCTTGCATCTCATTCAATTGCTTTTCATAGAACTGGTACTTGGAATGCTGTTATAGCAAAAGTGAGTAAACCTGAGTAAAGAATTGTTGGGACTTAGATCTATCATCCGCTGTACTATGAAGGCAAAGTGTAACAAAAGTCATACTTTTGGAATGAATGGAATAATGAAATTGCATGTGATAATAAAATTATCACATACAATTTTATTAACACATACAATTTCATTATTCCATTCACTTCTTCAAATGAATGGAATGAATTTGTATGAAAAAGATTTTAGAAGTAAATATCAGGGAAGTGATAAGGATGTGAATAGGAGTCAGTGTAAATTGTTGGATGATACTGAGGAGGAGCAAATAGTAACAATTAGACAGTAAGACGTAAATAAAGTAGTGGTATGTACATTGTCTTGGTCAGATACTTTTCCCGCATAAAGAAAAATGTGACCCAAATGTGATCCCTCTCTGCAGATGACACAGGACTGATCTCTGTCTGTCTGTCTATCTGTCTGTCTATCTGTCTGTTTGTCTCTCTCTCTCTCTCTCTCTCTCTCTCTCTCTCTCTCTCTCTCTC